ATCTGTACCCCTGGGCACGCAGAGAATGGGAATGAACCCGCCCACCCTGGCGGACTCCTGCAGTGGAACAGACTTCTGGAGCTTCTAGCAGCCTTCCAGGGGTCTGTCTGGAGCAGGAAAAGGTCAGTAGTGGGTTAGGGATGCAATGGGTGTAGTCTGGGTGCCTGCAGGGTTAGGTGTGTGCAGGCTGGGTGCCTGTGAGACTAAGTGGGTACAAACTGGGACCTGTGGGGCTAGGTGGGTGAAGGCTGGGACCTGTGGGGCTAGGTGGGTGAAGGCTGGGTGTCTCTTAGGCCAGATGCCCTTGGAATCCAGAAGGAAGAGTCTGCTCCACTAGCAGGAGCCGATGCTTATGTTTGGGGGCTTCTGGGAGTTTTAGATCTGTGTCTCAGAGATGTCCCTTGGGGAAACACCATGGCAAACATCTGGCAGGTGCTGGACATCAAGAGCCAGGGATGAGGTTGGGAGTATAGGCTGTCTCTATATTCTGTTGGGGTGCTGAAGGGGATGAGGGGACTCTAGCACGTGCTGACCTCTGAGCACTGGGTGGCTGTGATATTGCTAGTTGTGCCAACCAGTTGCCCTGGACACCCCTGGGGCCAGGTCTCTGCCCAGTGGCTGGCAAGACAAGCCACTTTATCACACAATCCAGCTGGCTCAGAGGTGGCCCCCCAGCGCTGCTAAATCGGGGCCACCAGCTCCTGCCTCAGGAAGAGGGAAATGCAGGCAGGATGTCCTCTCTTGTGGCCGACAAGTCCTTTCCCATGAACCCCTGCTGACCTTGCCGGCCACGTGGCAGGGGGCTCCCCCACTTGCTACCAGGACCTGCTCCCGCCTGGGCCTGGCCATCAGGGACAGGGTGGCAGGCTGAGGAGCAAGAGCAGAGGGGTGTGATTGCTATTGGCACCGCCCAGCGGGGCAGGGCCGGAGCCCTGAGCCTCTGAGCTGCCTCCAGCAGAGTGCCCGCACCTTCCTGCTCCCAGACGTGTCCCCACAGTGTGACCGGAAAACTGAGATCCCAGAGGAAGCCAGTGTCTGAAAAGGACCCGAACTCAGCCATCCCTGGCTCTGGCTGGGACATGCCGGCTGCTTCTCTATCAGAGATGTCCTGGCAGAGTGCAGGAGGGTCTCTGGACACATCTCCCCACCTGCCTTTCACTCCCAAGAAGCTTCGCAGAAGCTGTGGGGTGGAAGCCAGACCGTGGTGGAGAGACACCTGACCGGTAGGGGAAAACACCAAACAATAAGCCAGACACAGAGAACGTTCTTCCTTCCCTCCACGGGGTTGTGCTCAGGTTCCCCCAACTTTCCTTCCTTATCTGACCCGGCTGCACGAACTGGCGTCTTCCAGAAAAGTCAAATGGATGCCTCCATCTGGAGATCATGTTTCTCCATGCCTTTTCCTCCTCCCAGAGTCCTCCTCAGATGCATGACCTTATCATCCACCTGTTTGCTCAAGCCGGAGTCCTGGAGCACAACCTTGCCCCTTCTCCCACTCACTTGTAGGTCCCTGCCTCACCTGGACAGCCAGCCATCTGTTGCTGCTGGCTCCTGTCTTCTCCCCTGTACTCCCTATCCAGCCGCCCCAAGCCCTGGCGAACCTCAGCTGACCATTCACTTGTCTTCATCTGCGCATTCCTATCTCTGGGCCTTGTATGAGGGCCTCCTCACCCTGCTTAGAACGTCCTTTCCTGGCATTCTGCAGATCCCCCCCTAGAATCCCCTAGATAAGTGGTTCTCAACATGTGGGTCATGACCCCTTAGAGGGTCCAATGACTCTTTCACAGGGGTTGCCTAAGACCCTCTGCATGTTAGCTATTTACATTACGATTCATAACAGAAGCAAAATTACCGTTATGAAGGAGCAATGAAAATGTTATGGTTAGGGATTACTATAGCATGAGGAATTGTATTAAGGGGTCGCAGCCTTAGGGAGGTTGAGAACCACTGCCCTGGATAGAAGTCACATGTCTTCCTGTGCAGCCCACAGGCAGCAGCTGGGTCTCTCTGAGCGCTTTCACCCCACACTACAGACACCCAATGCCACATCAGAGTGCCTACTAGTCTGGCACCTGGGAACCCCTGCAGGAAGGGGTCATGCCCTGTCCTTTCTGCCACGCTGAGCAGGTGACGCATGGCTGTGGCTGCACAGAGCACGTCTCCTTCCCTGAGACACTAGGGAGATCGCCAGGCTGTCCACCACACCGTCCCAGGCCTGGCTCTGAAGAGGGATCAGGGTCCTTTTTGCTACATTGGTTCTGAGAGACACTTGTATTTCAGCCCCCAGAGCTCTGAGCTAGGCCCAGAAGGCCATGGGCACTTGCAGACCTCGCTATCCTGGACCTGGGTCGTACCTAAGAGCAGGGATATCAGAGAGATAGGTGACCATGCTTGATGTAGACCATGGCAAGTCAGGGCATCCTTAGGTGAAGCCACCACAGCTGCCCAGCAGTCTCCTGGTCCCCAGCTGTCGTACCCCCGTACCCCTAGTCTTGAGATAAAGTTTCTTGAAACTGCCATCTGCCCTTTCTTTCTTTCTTTCTTTCTTTCTTTCTTTCTTTCTTTCTTTCTTTCTTTCTTTCTTTCTTTCTTTCTTTTCTTTTCTTTTCTTTTCTTTTTTT